CTGGGTCCCTGCATACCTCAGTGGAGATTCACACAAGTCCGAGCCTTGTCATCTCTTGCCAGTGCCCTCAGGCCCTGGGAATAGGAGCTCCGTGCCCTCATGCCTACCTCTGTCAAAGCTGTGGCCGCGTCCAAGGCCCCTGCCTTCTTACTTGCAGTAGCCATCCTTCTGCGGTGGCCCGATGTCACCAATGCCCTGCGGTTTGTCACGGGCTACAAAGTGGTCGGAGAGATTGAGAATTCGGGTCTTTTCCGTCCTGTGCAACCTGATGAGGATGTGGCTGTCGGCCTCGATGCTTTGCTAGGTCAGGCAGCCTTGGACAACCTGCAGGCTATGCGCCGTCGCGTGCCCTCGAGTGATCGTGACGAGGACCTCCGACAGTCCTGTCTGAAAGAGATTGAGCTGGGCCATGCCAGTGGCCCTTACACTACTGCCGATATGGACTCCGTGTTCGGAGTCGGCAAATGGAGGCCACTTGAGCGGTTCATGATTTTGCGTCTGACAAGTGCCGCCCGATTGATTCTGGTAAGAAGCCGGGCCATAATGCATTTGCGCGTGAGCGTGAGACCATCTTCACCACCAGCATTGATGCCTTTCAGCCGCTCTTGTGCGAAACTTTGCATCACTTGCATCGCTCCTTCACCTCTAGTGGTTTCTGCCGTTTTGGCTGCTTTGTCGTGGGGGCTGAGGACATGCGACATGCTTACCGGCAGTGCCCTGTGCACCCGGACCACCTTTGTGTCACGTGCACTGCTTACTGGATCATGTTGCTCAGGACATCCGATACATTGTCTTGCAGGGCCTTCCTTTTGGCCTCTCCTCGGCTGTCCTTTGCTTCAACCGCACGCCGACCCTCTTGGCAGCCTTAGCTCGTCGGGTCTGTGGTGCTCCGGTACTCCAGTTCTTTGACGACAGCGGCATCGCAGACCTGGAATGTGACCGCGGCTCGGCTCAGGCAGCTATGAGAACTTGCTTTTCTTTAGCTGGTGCTGAGCTCGACCCAGACAAGTCTCAGCCCTGGGCAGCGTGCAGAGTTTTTCTGGGATTGTCGGTCAATCTGGCTACTGGTGCACTCTCCAACTGCATCAGCTTCGACCTCAAGCCGGGTTACCGGGAAGCCTTGACGGATGAGATTCATTCCATACTGCGTGAGGGCCACCTGAACAGTGGCAGAGCGCAGGCTTGGCGCCCCTGGTCACCCGACAGTTCTACGACGAGACGGAGCTGCTCAGCCCGCCTTTGGAGGACTGCTTGTGTTTTCACTTGCATTTGGCAGAGTTTGTGCCTCCGCGACTGGTGCGACTCACTTCTGCTTCTACCAGACCGTGCGGGTGCCAGCTACGAGCCCTCTGCTGAGGTTCCCGCTCGCCTCGGCTTCGTCGTCTTCCCCGACGCTGAGAATGCTCAGCCCCTGGGTATGTCACTGTCACTGGACATCTCCGAAGCAGTCCTTGATCGCTTTCAGGTTCGGAAGACGCAGATCAATGCTTGCGAGGCTTTGGCTGGAGTTGTTGTTCCGGCCAATGCTGCAGAGCTCTTGAAGGGCAAGGATGTCATCTGGTATGTCGACAACCAGTCGGCTTGCCAAGTCTTGATGAAGGGCAGCAGCGGCATTCGTGATCTTTCTGTCCTGGCCGCAGTTTCGCAGCTCTTGCCACTCGTCTTGGTTGCCGAGTCTACTACGAGTACGTTGAGAGTGATGCTAACCCATCAGACGGCCTCAGTCGTGATGGGCTTGAAGACAAGTGGACCCGTGCCCAGGCGTGGCGGCTGATGCCCGCGACCATGCCTCGGATTCTGTTCACGGCTTTCGATTCCTTAAGTCAGGCTCTGCTCTTGGCTTAGGCTTCGTCCTCGGGTTCACTTTGGGGGTTTTTGGCCGTTCAGTCGAGCATTATGTCTCTGGCATTATGCCACGGCACTGGCCATTGGACGTGTCTTGACCAGAGTGCTCCCCCTTCGATCTCAGGAGCCTTACTTCGCAGAGAGTCGCGGTGTGTGCAAAAAGATCGTGCGAAGCCTTCCTTCATGTGCACTGCATCAAGCATATTGTGTGCATGTCGGCCTGGATGGGTTTTGGCACATGTGACTTTATGCTTGGCTGCATCGGTTCAGCAGAACTATGAGTTGTGCAGTGTGCATGCTTTTCGTGCCCGCCCTCGGCTCCCATGTGCTTCTGCCACTTTTCTCTCCCTCTGCTTCTTTCTTTGTTCTTCTCTCCTCTCTCTCTCTATGTCTCTCACACTCTCACACTTTCTCACTCTCTCTATTTATCTGTGCCGTTTCGTTCTTGCTACATAGATTGGTTCCGCTTTCCGCGGCCTGGAATATTCTGGCCAGCTTCTTTGTAGGCATACAATATACAAAGCCAGCAAACTACCCGCCAGGTGGTGGTGGCAGAAGGGCTTCAGCGAGCTAATTCTGGAAGTCTTCCTGGGTCTCTGTGTGGGAAGCTCAGTGGTTAGTGTCTGCAGGGTGCACACAATTACATCCGACATTCTTCAGACTCGAAGGGGTTCCTTGATGAAAGACAGTCCGGACCTCTGGCAAAAAGCAGCCCGCAAATGTAAAGAAAACAAGGGTCTTGGAGTCATGCTGTGGGAAAGGTATCGAGATTGATGTGGTGCAAGCACTCGTGCTTCTGCCAATGCGTGCATTGGAGCCGAGCACATCATCACATGTGCTTCTCTCTAGCTTCGTGTCTTGGGGCACATGTTTCAATTAGCAAGCAAGCACACTATTGATTTCTCTGTGCCGACGGTGTACGTGGCGCTTAACTAGAAAGTCACGGTTTGCCAAGAGTAGGCAGCTGTACGTTTCGACTTCAGCGAATACGCTGCAACCTGCCGACCTATGCAGGCGATACTTTGTAGAAACACGCCTGCTGCTGGAAATGTAATCTATCACAGCTTCAGATACTACACGTAAAGAAGGCACGTCTTGCGCTTGAATGGGGTCGGGGTGACAAAGTGACGCCGAGGTGATGACCGTTGTGATCTGCGTTCTTACGGAGATGTTTCAACACGACGTGACCTGTCACGAACGGCACCTCGGCAGAGACAAGGCCGAGGCCGCCGAGGCCGGCCGAGGCCGTGTCTGTCTGTGACATTCTCCGTGAGGCTTTCGAACGATGGGCGCCGACTGGCTACCAGTTGTATCAGACAGGCTTTGGCTGCGGATGCTCTGTCTCAGATCACTTGAAGTGCGATAGCAGGTAGCAAGAGGTAGCAGGCGCCAGGCAGGTCCAGGTCTTGGAGTGCTGGGAGGTCGGTGTGAACCAGACATGCGGCGTGGATGGCTGCTTCTGTGGCATGCTCTCAGATCTGCTTTGCGATGAACCTCCCCTGCCAGCAGAAATCTGCATCAAGGTGGAGTTATACTGTGCAGAAGCGTGCAAACATGAAGAGAAACTTTACTCGGCCACGTTTCTGAGCTCGCAAAGCGGACAGGTGGTCCGACCGCTGTGCGCAGCTGCTGGCACAAACGTTCGGACAAGCGGTATGCACGGACACTTACACAACATCCTTGTAGCCTCCATCGTGTTGTCTGCCTCTTGGCCTTGACATTTTGCTGTGCGCTGTTTAAGCCAACAGACCAAGGAATATATGTTTGCACGATGCATTTTTGTTGATGTGCTCTTCGTGAGCGCAAAATCCATGTACTGTTGTAAAGTTGACTGGGCTGGTTTTGAAGCACTTGCTTGCACTGTGTCAACTTTCGCTACAGTAGGTTTTTGGTCTAAAGATCACTGTTTCGAGTTTGAAATTCAAGTCCTTTGTCTGAGTTGCTTGTCATGTGTGTCAGCCTAGTGCTGGTGTGAAAGGTTGATCGGTTCGTTTTGGTATTCCGGTCTTGAAACATCTTGATACTGTGGACCATGCGCTCGCGAGCATGTGGGAGCTCGATGAAAGTGACTCCTGGGATCCTTGCGAGGGTTTTCAGGCATGTGGCCGGACTTCGTTACAAATGGTGTTCGGGCAGTATTTTGATTCCTCAGGCCTCTTAGGAGCGCCGGTTTCAGCACCAGTTTCCGAGATGTGGCGTTGTGCTGGATCAGGTGAATCGAAGTGTACCACGGCACCCATCAGGCTTTGATCACAGCAATGTTATGAGAACCGACGTTTCTGACAATGACTAGACTATACTGGTCAGTACATAAGAACGAACAGTTATGTCAGGTATACTATTATACCAGTCTGAACAGCTTCAGCTGCCCCATCCTAAGACCAGTTTGGCTAGCTGCCGAGGTTTTCAACTTTGTGAACTGGGTCATCACAGCCTGGGCAATGCTGCTGAATTGGCTCGGATATCAGATGAGGCCACCTTGTAACCCCCACCGATACCGTGCACAGCTGCGTGATGGTGTCAGGAACTCACAGGTCATCAACAAACCTGTCGAGCCGAATACACAGTTCCTTGGACACGAAGGACAAGGTTTCGACGGTGTCACCGTGTGCTGAAACCCCTGCTGAGAGGTATCATCGGTTTACTGTTCTCTTCGAGTCTCCGACGGAAGAAAGCCTCGTCTTCAACGTAGACTGTTCGGAGGACCCTGAGGCCATTGGAGCAGGCGTATTGCAGTATGACAAACTCTTGCTGCCTTGAATTTCCCAAGGCGGTAGCTTGCACCCTTGCGGGGTTTGATGAGCCTTGGCGCAGAACAGTTTCTGCAGAGCTGCGATTGATCAGCAGACGGATGTTAAAATGTCAGTCACACCAAGCTGAGGAAACCTGAGTGCAACAAGCTCTTGCAACTCTGCGGTGGTGCGTAAAACAAAGTGATTCATGTGTGCAAACTGAAGTTGTGTCAAAGGCCGAACAAGACAAACGTTTCACGTCTCACACTTGTCATCCCGTTCTCGGAAGTGCTTCCGGAGAAAGATCCCTGCTGCCTGCCTAACAGGCATGAACAGCGCGGAAGAGCCACAGATAGCCACAGCATGCATCTGTCCGCTGCTGAAATCATGTACCTCATGACTTCATCTGCATCCAAATGGCAGGATTGCATGCCACATCGAGTACAGCACGTTCGAACATACGTCCACAGGCCGTGACTTTGTTGATGTTGCATGGCCTCGGGAGCAGGAGCAGTACAGCAGCAGTAGCTGGAGGAGCAGGAGCGGCAGGAGTAGGAGTAGGAGCCGGGGCCGGAGGGGTAGGGGGTAGGGCAGTGGTAGGGGTGGAGCAGGAGCAGGAGGGTAGGAGTAGGAGCAGGAAAATAGGAGTAGGAGCAGGAGCAGGAGTAGTAGGTAGCAGTAGGCAGTGGCAAGTAGTAGGTAGTAGTAGGCGGTAGTAAGTAGTAGTAGGTAGTAGTAGGTAGTAGTAGGTAGTAGCAGGTAGTAGCAGGTAGTAGTAGGTATTACTGGGCAGTAGTTGTAGTAGTAGTAGTACTAGTAGTAGTAGTAGTCGTAGTAGTAGTAGTAGTAGTAGCAGCAGCAGTGGTAGCGGTAGGGGTAGCAGGTGGAGTTGGAGTTGGAGCCGGAGTAGGAGTAGGAGTGGGAGTCGCAGGAGTCGTAGGGGTACGAGGAGGTGGAGGAGGAGGAGTCGTAGTAGTGGTGGTGGTATTGGTGGTTTCAGTTAATGGTTGAGCCTTTGCGCCCGTTGGCACGGCTCTTCTCTCAGTCTCTCGTCCAGGCAGTGATCAGCGAAATGCATTTTCAAAACAGGTGACCTGCACATAGCGCCATGGTGGTGGTGGGGGTGGTAGCAGTAGTAGTAGTAGTAGTAGTAGTAATTAGCGAAGCAGCCGGGCAGTTGTAGAGTTGTATTTCTCGCGGCAGTGGCGGTGCGTTTGCAAGTTCGGGCTTCAATCTCCTCAGGTGGGAAGCGCGAACGAAGGAATCATGAGATTGCTGACATGCGTCCAAGAAAGACATGCCATCCTTGGGAGCACTGGGGGTGGGGGTGGGGGGGTGAAGTTCACAGAACGGAACGTCAGTTCCAAGTCGCGTCGTGTGTTTTAGTGACATTTCTGCAGGTATCTCGCTGGTGGTCCGGAAGACTGCTTGAAGCACGTCGTCCTGGTTTCCTTGCTGCGTCATTTCGTGGAGGACCGCGACTTGACGGTATTGGAGAGTATCGTATTTTGTAGCTATAGTCGTTGTGACGTGACGTGTGTTCAACTATTGTAACTGGTCGGCAAGGTCGTCCATTTTCGTACATCGATGCGCATGCTGGTGGTGGCCTGTACAACCTTGAATGCGATGAGTCACAGGTGTTTCGCAACCACGAGGGTGGCATCGCACAGGTGATTGATGGAGTTCGCAACAACGGAATTTCTCACACGGTATATCGATTGATGTATGCCGCCATGGCGAGATTGAATATGGCACTTGGAAGCCGTGCCTTCCAGCACTACCTTGGTTCTACTGCTTGGGCTTTCCAATGGTTACGCAGCCAGGATCAGGTGTGGCAACGCGAAAAAAGTCCAGTATTTGTGTTTTTACGAAGGTGGAGTAGTGAGGCTTTCTCTGGAACATACGAACATGTATGGATTTTGGGATTGTTTTTTCTTGCGGTGTGCGGGTTGGCTTGGCATTCTTTTGCATCAGGTGGCTTAGCTTGAATCCTATACTACAGTGTGTTAAAGTCAAGCACTTGCAGCGGTGCATCAGCTGTCTCTCGTTTGACACTGTCACTTCGGGCTCCAGGCCTTCAGCCTACTTTTGAGCTGCGGCAAAAGGGATTGCGTTGCCTAGGGCTTCGCCTTCGCTGGCTTAGTCCGGTTGCATTCCATAGTGGCACCGGAGCCTGAGTGTGCGTGGTCCTGCTCTGCGCTGCCACTCCGTGGACCAAGCTTCGCGCCCTTGATGTCCTTTACGCGATCCTCGGTTACCTCTAGGATGGAAGCCCAGCTTGTGGGGGTTGAACTTCGTTTGGAGATTTTCGGCAGCGGTTTCACCTTTCAATTGGGGTTGTTGCGGGTGGCTTGAATTTGTCTTTGCCGTGATGGTTGACAAAGAGGAGAAAACTGGAGCTTGGAGCCATTGTCCCGTATGGGACGGTTCCCCTGTGACTTGGCGGGCTTTCAAGCGAGAGATGGCCTGGTGGTGCAGCTCCTTTCGGCACCAAGAAGTATATCTTGGCTGCCAAGTCCTGCTGCGACAGAGTGGAACCGTGAGGCAAGGAGGTGAAGAATTTCTGCCGGAGGAATTTGAGTATCAGAAGGAGGTCCGCCCGAGACCCAAAGAGCGGAGAAGAGTTTGCTTTGACACTTGAAGATCCATTGGCTGGCCTGAACAATCTTTGGAAGCCCTGCAGGGCAGTCGGTGCTTGATGGTCGAGGTGAACTTCGCACCGCCTTTTCTCCCTCCACCTGGCCAGGCGACCTTTGGAAAGGGTGGCACGGCAGACTATTCCTCGCGGTTTCGGACGCGGTCTCTACGAGCTGAGGGCGTCAAGCTGCCTGACTCCGACGTCGGATGGTTCTACAAGGAGAAGCTGGGCTTGGATGCGCTGCGGCGGCAGCTTTTGGAGACGGCCTTGCAGGGATCTGAGACTACAGCGTTAGTGTTATTGAGGCTGAGTGTTTGCGGCTTTTCCGTGGCCTTCACAGCCAGGACGCTTTGTTTCGTCGGTTGGACCGGCAGGCTGGGAGCAAGCCTCGACGCCTTCGAGACGATCCTCCTTTGCTTCTGCGGCCCTTTGTGAGACAGGGACAGGCCAATGTGACCGAGCAGCCGGAGCTTGAGGACTTTGGGGCCGAGGCGGCCAGCGGCGAGACAGCCGAAATCGACCAGGATGCCGAGTGACGCTCGATCCAGACTGACGTGCGCAATCTTGGATCGATCAGGCGGAGGAGGACGGAGTGGACCCGGCCTTTTGCGAGACCAACGAGATTGAGGCGTCGGCCGAGGCGCTCGTCTCCATGTGGGAGGCGCGAGTGAAGTTGGCTGAGGTGCACAAGGATCGGGGTTGCAAGGGTCCAGGTTCTTCGGCTGGCAAGGGCTCTGGACGTGCAAGCATAGCCGCTAAGAAAGCTTCTGGGAAACATGTTTGCTTCGACTCCGGGCAATCTCTCCATTGATGGTCGAGAGACGCTGAGTGCAAGAAGCCTGGTGCCGGCCCAAGACAAGGCTGCCGAGCAGGTTCGGATCACCGAGGCGGCCCCTGCCGTGAACGAGGTTGCTGAGATTGAGGCGGCGTCGCTCCAGGAGGCGCACGTGGTGATGATGATGATGTCCGTCATGGAGGCTTTGCAGAGTTCTTCAGCTGGGGCCGGCGACTCCGAAAATGCTTCTTCGACTTTGGCGGTCGACAAGGCCTTGCTGGGAGCCTTGGATTCGGCCTGCAATAGGACTTGTGCGGGCGATGAGTGGATACAGGGCTATCTTCAGAAGCTTGACCGGGCACCCAGCGCATCCGTGACCTCATCCTTGTGTGCCCCGAGAAGGAGAACTTTAAGTTCGGCAACGGTGGCGTTTTGCCGTCGGCGATGAGGGACCGCTTGCCTGCGGTCGTCTCCCGCAACCTGGTCCTGATATGCGTTTCCTCAGTGCCTGTGAGTTCCTTAGGCTGCTGGCAGAGTTTTTCTTGATGTGCCGGGTGGCGTGCTCAACTTCGGGGCCCGCGCCCTTGTATGCAAGCTGTTCGGCGAGACGCCGACCGAGCTTGAACGTCTTGCTGCTGGGCACCTGGCCTTGCAACTTATTCCGGAGTGGTGGCCCGAGCTGACATATGTGCGGTGGAGGAAGCTTGGACCTGATGGGGTGCTTGAGTGCAGCGTTGGTTGTGGTGAGTGGGCTGCTCAACTTCTGAAGCGTGGCAGCCCCAAGAGTGCATCTGAGCCTCCTATCCCGCACCAACACAACGTGACCGAAGCCAGCTTGGAACTTGGAAAGTTGGCCTATCTATCATGTTAACACTGTGAGATGTCGAATGTCGACGTGCCCGCGAGCATCGACTTCTCCTCTTCGGCTTCCTTTGATCATGGCGCTGCCTCGCCCGACGGCGGCTCCGACTTTCGCGGCTCCTTCGGTTGCTCCTCGGCTGGCGTTCGGTGGGCAAGGATGGAGCTTCGAGCAGTGGCCCACTTCGACTGGAGCCGAGAAGGAGTAAGATTGTAATGCATAAAACATCCGGAGCTGCGCTGGCTGCCCTTTCCTTATCCATCGGTTTGTGCTCCAAACAGCAATGGGAGTTGGAGGCTCAGGGGATGGTGGCAACGGGATGTTATCCTCGCCGCTGCCTGGGCCATGGGGCCTATACTCAGGCCAACCTGCAGTGGATGACATGGTTTCAAATCAAGTCGGACTTCGCTTCGCTTCGAGAGGACCCAGTGCTTTCCGGGATGCTGGCTGCGAGACGACAGCCTGGACGATCCCAGTAAGTCAAGGTGGCGGTGATGAAGGAGGAGGCCGCCCTGGCAGCCAAGGAGAGCGATCGTTTGAAGGTGGCTCGCTCTTTGGTGGGACCTCGTGGCGAGCTGGCATCGCTAAAGAACGATCTGATAAAGTTGGCCACGCTCATGCGCGTGGACGTGGACGAGAAGGACGCCGTGAAGACCCTTCGGACCGCATGAAGTCAACGATCGCCGACCTGTGTGTCAAGGTGCCCGCGTAGCCACTTCCACCTCGACAACATCTACAACCGGATTTGCAGAGCACTACGACTTAACGACCGAGGGACCAAAGGCCGTGCCGAGCTACGCCGCCTCGAGCCAAGGATGGAGCTTCCTTTGACTGTTTCCGCATTGAGTCCCGAGGCGCTCCAGCCCGGCATCCTTCAGGCAGGCCATTCTGAACCAAGTGCCTTCCCACGGTATTCCCACGTCATTCAGATATAGAGCATGCCGCCCGCGCAGATGAACATCCCGGACGAGGACGTAACCGCGCAGGACGGCTGGGGATTGCCGACCCAGCCCGGAAACACTGAATCAGGTCGGTTGCCTGGAAACCTCGCTCGAGGATGCTCTTTGAAACCGGCGCAACGGCAAATGGTGCAGCGACACACATCGCCGAGATCAGCTACTCATACCTTGTATACGCCGGCATCTTTGCGCGAGACACACCGCCGGCGTGGACTTCACCTCCGACCCTGTGTGGGACTTTGGGCAGGCCGCTCATCGAGCCGGTGCCATTAGTCTGCTACAGCAAGATCAGCCTTACCTCCTCGTTTTGCCGGTGCCTTCGGAGCCTTGAATGTTTTCTTCTTCTCTGACTTTGTCCTGCGCCCCCGCCAGTGTGATCGCAGTTGAGAATGGTGGTGGCGATGGCGCGGCTGCCAATGCCTAGCTGTCCTTTAGGAGCGGCCATTCAAGATCTGCTCGCCCAGGCCGGCGCTTTTGTTGCGGATCTTTCTGGTGGGAGTTGATTGAGGAGGATGAGACAGTGGACGACTCCTCCTTGCCGTCCTTGCCGACTGGGGACTGAGAGTTTGCCAGAGGCTCCTCCTACAGTTGCTCCTGGACTGCCGGTGGGACACTTTTCGAAAGACCGATGCTTCAGTGGGCAATTCAGCGAGGGCAGGGCCAACTTTTGGCACTGGCACTGCGTCAGCAAGCCTTGGAGTGAGGGCAGCCGCGGAGCTGCGACTTCAGATGCAACGTGGACGCAACCGACATTCCTCACAGAGTGGTGCTCCTTCTTCGGTGAGAGCTGACGAGCCCTGTCGTCTCCGCGTGGTAGGTGCATGGTGCAGCTCCCCGTAGACCTTCGTTGGAACCTCAGGGTGATCATGTTACAGTCGTCAGTGATGCAGTTCCCGATCGATTCAGAATCCGGTGGGCATTCTTCTTCAGTTCCAGGCGGTGGTCCGTTAGTTGAGTCGGGGTCGTCATCATCACCAGGCCCCGTTGTGCTTCAAGATGGTGATCAGCAAGTCCACTCGGCCTTTGAAGCTTTCACGTTGGACCGAGAGCAGCTTTAGCGTTTAGCGCTTGGGTCTCCAGAGGTACACCCTCTTCTGCAAGCTGAAGCCTTGGTTGAGTGTGACCGTGAGTGCCCCAAGTTCTCTGAGAAGGCCTGATCACGGTACGTGGGATGGCCGATGGTCAGTGCCTTCGCCCAGTGAGCATGTTCTCTCTCTCGAGAGCTCGGAGCACCCCTTCGGACTGGTTGCGTGGACAATGCCCGTGAGATCAATGCCACGGGCGGCGGACAGGAACTCCAGTGGAACGCCGTGTCAGCTCGACAGAAGGAGCAGTGGAGCCAAGCTTAAAAAGGGTTGAGCTGCTTATGTCGATGATGATGCGATTCAGGTGCTGTCCTTGAGGTGCAGAAGGAGCTTGCAAGAAAAGGCGAGTTGGATAGAATTCTAACTCCGCGGTTCCTACCGACAAGAACCAGCCGCTCCGCACTGAAGGTGCTCTTCTACCTGAAGCTCCCTCCCTCGGCTAGGCTGGTCGTGCCTGGATTTCGTGATCGTCGTTGCTGTCGGCGGATGTGAAGCCCCTTTTTTTAGGAGACCCTTTTGTCTCTCGCGAACTCTATATTCTATATCGGACCAACTCCAGAACCTGTGGGACGGTCCAGAGCAGAAACGTTTCAAAGGCATGAACGCATCTCATGTGGACGACTTGCTCGTCGGCGGCGACGCGGACGCTGAAAAGTCCTTGATGGATGTGGGTGCAATGTTCGGGTTCAGAGAAGTTGTTCGTGACTGCTTCACCTGGCGCGGAAAGTACTTCCAGAAGCACGCCGACGACACCGTCACGATCAGCATGCAGGCCCATCGTGAGAATCTCAAGGCCGTCTTTGTCCCGAAGCACCGCAAGTCGAACCGGCCGGCACTGCTGCCTCCCCAAGAACATAGGCCCATGACATAGGCAGCTGCGGATGCTTCTAGGCACTCTTCAGTGGTTGGTGGCAGCTTCGCTTTGACTTGGCCTTTGGTGTGTCTCCCGTACAGGGAGAGTCGCCGCCGATCGTTGGAACACTGCTTCGAGCCTTTGAGGCCGTCAAGGAGTTCCAGCGGGACTGCGCCGCCTTCAAGCTCACCCCGAACGAAGGAGCCACGTGGGGAGCGTCTCTGAGAGCGGCTCCGCGGAAGAGCCTCAGCTTTACAGCCAGGTGTGTCACTTCAGAATCCTGGCAGACCGTGATGGAGGGCCGCACTGGCACGTTCAACGTGCTGGACACCCGGAGCCATCGCATAGCGTATGCAGATCCTCATACGCGGCGGAAACGCTCGGGGCAGAAGAAGGCTTCGACATAGGCCAGCTCTGTCGTGGATATCTGGCGAGCATCAGGGGCCATGGCGTGCACCAGAGCGAGATTGATCGCGCCTTGAATGCTGTGTCTTTGACTGTGGTGGTCGATGCCAAGGATGTGTTTCATAAGTCGAACAGGATTCGAACAGCTATGGCAGTCAGAAGAGCCTCGCCTTTGCTATCGCCTGGCTTCGGGCCGTGCTGAAACGGCCAAACAACTCAAATGGACAAGCACCGAAAATATGTGGGCCGATGGCGGTACGAAATCGATGGACCTCGACCATATGGGGTCGATCTTGTGCTCCGGACGTTGGTCAGTTACCTACAACCCCACTATTGCCAAACAAGTTGCCAATGGGAAGAAAGCAAGACCTTGGGAAGTACAAAACAACCTCGAGCCTTTAGGTTCAAAGCTGCCTGTTGCAGACCCGCTTCTAGGACACCAATTCCGGCTGGGAGAACGGCGTGGCTGGCATAGCTTCGAGGGGACCGGCGTGAACGTCGCCTTCGACGCCACGTCGTTCAGGACGCCCGAGCCTCGCTTTTCAGCTTCTGAGTTTCCTCTGTGTCGTAGCTTCGCACGAGTAGACTTACCCACTGGTCAAGCCCAGTGGCGCGTGCTAGAGCCGAGCGTGGCCTGGAGTATGGGGATCTTGCAAATCCTCATGGGCTGCTAGAGCAGCAGCGACTGCCCATTTTGTCATTTCCTTTGAAAAGAGACGTATACATGGCTGATCACCTGCTCCTGCGTACTTCCCGTTTAGGCTTGTCAGCCATAAAAGAAAGTATAGGGGATGTTAAAGTAAAACACTTGCAGCGGTGCATCAGCTGTGCCTCTCCAGACACTGTCACTTCGGGCCCCAGTCCTTGAGCCGACTTTGAGCTGCGGGAAAAAGGATTGCTTTGGCTTTTCTAGGGCTTCGCCTTTGTTGGATTAGTCCGGTTGCATGGCATACAGTGTTTGAAGGTCTTGTGTGTTCCCTGGCGCTGTGTTATATCTACAAGTCTTACGAGAATCCCAAAGTGTTACGAACTTCCTAGTGATAATCTTTCAATTCCAGACGTCGGCTTTTCCTTCGAATGCCATGCATGAGTCCGTGAAGGGTTCTGTTTAATGCCGACACAGATTTCGAAGACTCCAATTTTCAATCGGAAAAGCCACTCCAATTCAGAGAATCCTAAGCCTCTCGCACGATATCACAAAAATAACTTCTAGCAAGTCTTAGTATGCATCTAACTGAGAGCCAGACTATGGCAAGCCAAGCCGCACTAAACAGAAAAACCAAACCAATCCAAACCTGCGACCAGCAAAAACAGGCCTAGGCCTAGCCTTTCTTGAGCCAGGCCAAGCCTCGCCTAAGCAAACACTTGTTATCAGGAACAGAGCACCCCCTTTCTCCTCTGCAGCGCATGCCAGGCTGTGCTGTTCGAGCTATCGGCCGGAGCAGCTGCGGACTTGCGGCGCAGCCTTTCCATCCTTACCGCATCTGAAGCAGACATCAAGGTTATTCAAGCGAATTCCTACGAAGAGCTTGTCAGAAATCCACCTGTGTGCCATCAAAGACAACTTATTCTCTTGGATCCACCGTACGACTCTGCAGGGACTTATTTCACTTGGAACATTTACATCTTGTGGCGCTTGTACAGAGATCGGCCGAAGGCGACCCTGGCGCTTTGGTTTCCGCACTACAGCGAAGAGCAGACGGACATTCTGCTGCATCGCGTGCAGCAGCTGGACCTTGGCCAGGTCTGGAAGAATACAAAGCTTTTTTTCTCAGAATGGAAGAAGCCAAAGATCTCTCGCGACTCAAGCCCTGTAGGTACTTGTGGCCATGATGATTTTGAGCAGACGCTCGCGACAGCTTCCTGGTTCCGGGCTTTTGGTTCTCCGGCCACCCGACGGCCTCCAGGACTCTGCTCCTAGGCGAAGCGTGTCCATCTATGAACTCCAGCACACCAAATGTACAAGCCGTGCAGCAACGGAAGACAAGGGGATCCGCAAGCCAACTGCGCAATTTGCTGGCATTGACCGAACGCGCCCAAGATGCCCTCGTGTGCGAGGAGAAGTGCAACAGAATGCGGCAACCAGTTCTTAACAGGCCACGCTTGCACAATTGAGTCGGGCGTAAACCCTCAGATCCCTTATCACTTGCGAGCACGTGCGATTCGAGCTTGTGCAATCGGAGCACAATCCCGACTCATCGACCGAAGCACTGCGATTCGACACCCAAAACTGACCTATGTACTGTTTCAAGCAGGTGGCAAGCATCAGTCTTGAATTTGGGGGGTTTTGCACCTCGCAGGAAGAACTGCGGGAGGTTTTGCCCCAACTGGCACGTGTACTTGGTGCACCCGGAAACCCGGCTGCAACAAACACGGAAGCTTCCACAGTCGGTTGGCTTTTTGATGTTAGCAGGCTGTCGAATATCGTCGTTGCATGGTCAATGCTGCGGAGTTCCGCATTTGGTACCCTCTCAGGTGCCGTGCACGTGTCCGTAAAGTTGCTGCTCACTGCAAAAGACGTGCGGCCGTCTCAGCACTGAGGCATACATTGTACAGGACTCTGCAGGTCGCTCATTGTGATGAGTGTTTTGCATGATCTGAATCACACAGAACTGCTTTGGACACGAGGGACAGGCGAGACCGGAGTCTCCAGCACTGAGTCAGTGCGACTTCTTCCGCTCAGATGTACAGCACCTCATCTAGTTGACATTATCATGAGGCTTGCCTACGGTGCAGTCAAAGAGTTCAGTGTTTCTTGGCTTGGTTGAAAGATTGTTTCTCTTGCGGACATAAGCATGGTGCACGTGACCGGGTTTCTGCGAATGCCACTGGCCGTTTAGCTGGGTGACGGTCGGTTGGCGAAGGCCATGCAATGCTCTGGCCGTTTGAAGCGCTTTGAAAAACCGCTTTGAGAGAGCTGCTAAGCGGAGGCCTCTGACATGGCGGACGGACTGGCCATGGGTCCGGGTAGCCTCAACGGAGGCGGTGTGGCCCTGGTGTGCGGGTCCCAGCCTGTCCCACAACTGCGGCACTGCGGCGCTCGAGCTTCACTTCCTGGGTCTCTTATTTGCGGAAGGCCCGTAACTGATGGGCCAGGCAGGGGCTGAGCTTAAAGTTCAGCATCTTGCCCAAGCTCCACTTCTCTGATCGCACAGCGTGCATTTCTGCGAGGTGGGATGGCTGGCTGTTTCGGCCCACCAACCTGCGGAGCGATGCCAGGCAGGGTAGGCTTTCGTGAGGCTCTCTAAGGCCCCAAGTCTGAACATCCGAACGTTTGCATGTGAGGATCGAACCCCGCATCTCTCATGGGTGACCCGGCCCTTCGCCCCCCCCCCCCACCCCACCCTCCCATGGACTATGTGTTCTCTGTGTGGAACGGCTTGACTTCTAAGCTTCGGAGTCTCCCCTGCGGAATGGTTTAAGGAAGCAGCTGGTGGGACGTACCTGGCGGGCGGAGGGGAGAGTGCTCTTCACCCCCAGGTGTAACGAGGTACGTATGTCAGATGTCCGTCTTGGAGAGGCATCTGCATCATCGCTGCGGTGTGGTCGCTCCACCGAATCCGAGAGAGCTTTGAACTCTGCACTCTAGCCGATTCTGACCAAGGTTGCCTGTGCAGCAACAGCCCCAACTCCAGCTGCCACCCCGCGCCTTCCAGGTGCCTCCTTTTGATGGTCCGGGCGATGTTGTATTCAGATGACCTTTGTAGCGTCCCCCGCAGGCAGTTACGCCGAAATCATCGAATGTGGCGTCGCTTTCCATTCCGCATGTCTCTTCTCCGCCTGTCGCACCGCCAGAGCTTGAGGCGCCAGGGTTCAAAGAGGCGGGGCATGGAAAACTCTTCTTACAAACCCCAATCGTGGGTTGTGGGATGATGTAGGTTTTCGGCTTTGCCGGAGGTGTCTGCGCCGCCACCTCCGCTACAAGAGCCATCACTGCCACTGGAACACAAGGCTCCACAGCCACTGATGACACCACGCTGGTGCTGCGAGACTCTGCAGCACTTCTCACTCGATTGACATTATGAAATTCGCAGGACCATCTGCCATCTGCCTGCTCCTCGGCATGGATCGTGCAACATCTTCTTGTGGATTTCTGCTCCTAGGCCGGATCCGTGGGTCATGCCGAGGGCACTTGTAGGCCCTGTGCCTTTGTTTTCAAGAAGGCTTGCGGCACTGAGAGCAGTCAGAGCCGCATGCCATTCAATTGCCAAGCATCTGGAGGGTTGTGACAGTGGCAGCCAATGTACCTTCTGCCATCTTTGCCCACCAGGCGCGGGAATAGCCTGGCAGCGTCAATAGCTCTCTGCTGCACAGTTCTGAGGTGAAAAGAAAAGACGCATGAAGGAGAAAAGCACGAAAAAGGCCACAGAGGCGCGACGCCCCTCTGGTGCCTCTCCGTGCGTTTGTAATTCTTATCTGTAGAATTCATACGAGAAATCGACAGTATCTGGAAGTAGCTGTAAGCTGCCAGCGCACGGGGTTAATCCGAGATCTTCCGGCTTCCTTCGGAGGGTCAGCTTGCCGGAATACTTTCAGGGACTAGGCCTAGGCACAGCAAGCAAGTGGCTTTCGAAGGCAAAATTTATCCAAGTGTTGAACGTATCTGTGGGGCCACTGCTTGTTCCGCAGGGAACGAGCACACCGTGAACTCTTCAGAAGAAGGCCACTGTTGCGCATGTTATTCTCTTGGGACAGTCGTCGCAGCAGGGTGGCGGCGGAAATGCACGGGATTGTGCGGGAGGATTGTGTACCAAACAACAAGCCCACAAGACAGAGGATAACTTATTCACAAAGCAGCATGGTGAAACAATTTCAAAGATCCTCAGACCACAAGAGGACTCACAACAGAAGATGACTCTCTTCCACAGAGCTTCTAGTGGATGTGGGAGGCATTGCCTTCTGCTGTGCAGAAGAGCAGGGGGCATGTTGAGTGCTCGCGACGACAGCCATGTGAAACGCAGATCCATGACACTGTCCGAGTGGACTTTCTGTTGCTACGAGCATTCGCACCAGCAACACGTTGCAAAACCGCTCCATCGCTGTGTGGTTGGTTGCGCAACTGTGCAAGGCTACATTGCAGGCTGAAACAGGTCGAGTGTGGATATGAATTGCACATAGGCAAACTAGCTGCGACAAATCTACAGCATTCTGCATTCAGCCGTCGAGTCTCAAGCCTTGTCACACTCTTGTTCAGAACATGCAGTTTGCGATGCAAGTTTACCGTTGACGATATGAGCTAGACCGTAGTTACGTAGTTGTCAATCTTTCTGCTCCGCAAGTCTCAAGTGCAGGTGGGACAAGCTCTGCGAACAGATGTCGTGACGTGATCCGATGGGAATCCTTGTTTTCCAGACAGTTCAGCAGGGCTCTGTATTTTGATGGGCATTGCTGATAGGTAGCTCGGCACTCGGCCGGAATACTTCTCATAGAAGCCGTTTTGTCACCACGGCTTTCGCCAGTTGCTCCTCTGAGGATGAGGATTGGAGAGATTTTGGGTTGCTTCTATACAAATAAAAACTTGTGAGTCACCCAATCGGGCCCGGCGAAGAATGCCTAGATTCTTAGAGTTTACCTAGATGGTACATTTCAACCCAGGCGGACTGATCCAATTCGTCTTGCGAGATGCATTGAACCTTCCGCAGATACTTCTTCTTCCCCCAAGATAGACGGTAATCTTCGCAGATGCCAAGATCCTCCACTGTGTCCTGTGCACCAGCTGGCACTGCCTGTTTTCCTGCAGTTCGTCAGCCAAAGACTCTGGCATTTTTGTGCAGGTGGGATGCCCAAGGCATAGATAGCTCCCACGTCTTTACACAAGCGCAATTGCTTGTTCAATTTGGAATCTGCTCAATTTTGCTCTGGGAAACTCGGAGAACCTCCTGGCAGCTTTAGAGGATCTCAATGCGACGCCTTCATGGATCTGCGCTTGATCCGGCTGTCTGGTTTCGTTCGTGTCACCGACCCGACCTTGAAGTACCATGTTTCCATGTGACTGAGAGCTTAGACAAAAGCTTCCGCAGATCACAGCAGATTGTGATTCGAGTGGACTGGTTGCACATGCTTGCGCTTGCAGCCTCACCTGGCAAAAGTTGTAGTTGACGCTTGCGCATCTCTTGAAAGCGAATTCGGCTCATTCAGCACCTGGCATTCACGTGATGCAGTGTCTATTGAAGAGTCGACAGCACTCTTCGGGCGCTCACATTTGCCACTGCAGCACGGCCTCTTAGACCGTTGCAAGCATGGATAACACGACCTGTTATTGGCGACATCTAGAATCTAGACTAGACTGAGTTTACAACTACGCCTGCGGCTTCCAGCCGCTTCTGAAGTGCTCTCCAGGACCCGATTCTCGCGAGCACAGTTTGCTGGATTTAAGTCCACAGCATAACCTTGAAGATCAAGATCAGGGTCTTAATTCACGGTTTTGATGGAGCAGGTAGTGGATGCTAGTGATGTGGACATATCGGAAATGCTCGATTGGGGTGGGCTTTCGTAGCAAAGTGACCCTGAGAACATCAAGAGGGCTGTTAAACTAATGCAGCACATTGGGGAGATTTGCAATAAACTGATCAAGTCACACACTACCGTCATTTGCTCCAATGTTGGGCCAACGTTGTACTTGTCCAGAGCATGCATTGGTTTGATCATTGAAAGGGCCAGGTCATCCAAGAGTTCCTGGAAGCTGATTTCGGTCGCAACTCTGTTTGACTTTCTGTGCCTGGCCACCGCAGATCCGTCAGGTGCAGCAGCGAATTGTGCTGACACGTGCTCATGCCAAGAGGCCCCGTTTCTGGAGGTGGAGTTGAAGGTGCGCCATGAACTATGCGCACCAGACATAAGCAGTGGGCGATGTCCGTGGAGCTACCGGATCTTCGCAGAGCAACTGACTAGCTCCGGTTCATCGTGGCGGTGGCAGGCCTGACCCAAAGTAAGATGACAGGCTTGTCACGACAGACAACAGTGGTTCTGGCAATGAAATCGGAGTTGCTGGCCATGGAAGCTCAGAGGACTCTGGTCAGATGCCCCACAAGCTACCCAAGCCATTCGGAAGGACAGAGTTGGGAGCGTTGACCGTGAGCAGTGGGACGAAGTGTTTTGCATGTGGCGGTTCGCATATGGTACGTGATATGGCCAAACCGTGAGAAAGGGCAAGCGCAAGTACGGTATGTCCCGGACATGGACACCTGTGGCACATGAAGCGTGCGTGAGCGCGAGGGCAACAGCAAAGGCAAGCCCACGGGAACGGGAACCATCGCCGATGGATGGACTGGATGGAGGATTGTCAAGATCTGGGCGACTGCGGCCACACTGTCGTTTCGGCGACGGGCATTGGCTGAGGGCGATGTATAGGGTCCTCCTCCTCACCAGTACGGTGTCGGCATGCTTTAAAAACTTTTGTCTCTACGGCCTACCGATTCCCACACCGCAATTGCTTTCAAGCTGGGCTTGACAAGGCTATTGTGGCGCCGGTGCTGATCGGTGTTTGTTTTCTTTGCGCATCTCCCAATTCTCTCACCATGATTCGAGAAATCAACGCCGA